TGTCAATACATAAAATCAACACACACGACAACCCAGCAGACATACTGACGAAGTATGTCTCGGCAGAGGTGCTTAACAAACACCTCTACATGGCGGGCATTCAATGCCCACAACAACACAACTGAGCAGCAGCTGCACAAACAGTTTCACAACCATGGCAGCACCAATGCGTGTACAACACACAAGGGCGCGTCGAGCCATGGCACACTATTCTAGCTACTATGTGCATACTATGTCATAGACAATATGTACTACAAGATCCTTAGTTTCACAATGAGCTCAACTTTCCTTTCGTCGTTTCGGAGTACAATTCGATGGACAATGTGTTTGAAGTTTTGCTTTTTAGAATTTGGAAGACAATGCATGTTCAGTTGACAATTTGTTAACAATTCCTTTTGACCGCAGCCGCTTTTCTCACAAGCTGGGACAATCCTCATCGAGATCCACAAGGACAATTTGACGAAAGATATGGCAGGTGAAATGACAATCCCGGACTATCACAACCAGAGCAGGTTGCCCACGGGAGTCACAATTTCCCTATGGGATGACAGGTCCACAATCTTCAACGTGGACAATATCGAGACCACGATCTTGCACCCCGAGAACTACAAGAACCTACAATGGGCAGATGCCCTTGATGACAATGAGACCTACTGGTTCTCGGCGGTCACAATGACCGAATATGGAACAATGGTGAACGAAGAAGGAAAGATCGACAAACTTCCGGGCTCAATCCGGAAGGTTGGAGGTTGGGAACAATACATTATGGTTCCAACAAGCGAGGAGGCCATCCAATGGCTTGCGTACCACCAATCGCAAGGCCACACAATGTCGAACAAAGAGACGGTGCTGATTGCAATCTCCTTCGAGGAGCACAATCTGATTCATCACCAATCACAAAAGATAGTCACTTCCTTCCAGAGAGGATACAGCGTGCAGGTTTTACAAATCCATGCACCCTTCGACTATCTGCTGACAAACAAGGAGATGAACAAGATGCGTGTGATGCACCTCCAGTACAATGCCATCGACAAGTTTGACAGGTACAACTGGGAGAATGGATGGATTTGGCTCTATGGCCATACAATCCATGTAAAGTCAATGCTGACGTTGACGGAAAGCTCCCCGCACCATACAATCTTCAAGATGGCTTTGGCGCACCTTGGCCAATTTGGTCAATCACAATTGCCACCTGATGTGCAATTGGCTGTGGGAGTCTACAAAGCCGACAAGAAGATTGACACCTACCACGTCACAATCCCAAAACGACATCAACGAGGACACTCCGAGCACAAGATCTACATCCTGGAGCGTGACAGGACAATTGATATCGAATTGTCGGAGACAGAAGAGGAGACAAAAGGGACAAAACGTCCGCGACAAGTCACAGAGACTCCGGACAACACCATTGACGCAATGGTGGGCTAGGACAATGATCCTACAAGCGGCATTAGCTCCAGACATGACAATGCCCTACGAGCACGACGATGAAGAGGGCAACAACGCTGGAGTCAACAATGACAAAATGTACAGACTTGCCTACAATGCCTTGAACTGTTTAAGTACAATAATGCTTCTTTACAGTGTCAACAATGTTTGTATTGATGGTGTGATTCAACAATGAATCAAACCAAGGGACGGTGTCAAGAGACAAGTTCATTTACAATAGTTCATTTACTCTCTCGCACTGCTCATGTACAATTGCACAGTGCTATACAATGCACTTGGATCGAGGCCTTGAGCCTAAGGACAATTGCCAGAGGAAACAATACAGAGACGTGCACAAACAAACGACAAACAAACAGCTGCTGAATTTTACAGAAGCGAGGGAAGGAAAAAAAAAGGGAAAGAAAGAGTGCTCAAAGCAAAAGGTCTTTAAAAAAATGAATCGCTCTTAGCGTTTTAGCCAACACTGCGCTTCTACAGTAGACTGGTTGAAAACAGTGTACCAAAAAAATCTGCTGACCAAAACTCCAATATGACGGCCAAAGCTCCCAAAGCACACACGGGACCGTAAAGTTTTCCAAGCCTCCAAGGGGTTGTTTGGCAAACCAGGTAGGTCACACCTCAAAAGGTGTCACAATTGATCAATGACGAATTTCTTTTGTCTCTGAGCCTGCGACAAGCACGCACCAGTGAAAGCGTCCATGACGTAAAGAGTGGACTCTTGCGGCGGGAGGGCTATCCTTCATTCCAATTCCATGTGTTTGAATGCTTGAAACCATCCGAAGCACTCCAAACAAACCCCTGCGAGCGCTGCATTGAACATCGTAATAAAAAATAACAAGTTCAAAGCATTGAGCTGTATCATTTGCATTTATTTGCAGGCTGCCGATTTCAGATGTCACGCTGAGCCCATCCTGCCAGCCTCTCCCGGTTCAAGTCCCTGCTCTGCTGCACCTGGGGCAAACATCGGGAACCGGCTATGCAATGCAAGGCACTCAGCACTGTGTGCGAAAAACACGAGCTCTGCTTTCGAGCCACCAAGCCCAAGGGAGATGCTCACAGGACGTTTGCTTCGATTGAAGACCTTGCACAAAAAAAAACATATCTGCAGCGGTCTTTTGCAGTCCCTCCAATCTGATCCTGCTTTTGGCACAACTTAGTGGCCGACTGAAAGCTGAGGAGCTGCCTCTGGAATGGGCGGAGGGCTAGCATGCTTCCTTAGCCGATTGATGCCAATTGGATCTGAACACAGCCAGCTTTACTGCACGTGTTTCGGAAAAAATTGCAAGATGTCATTCACATCGGGCCCTGAGACATTCGCAACCATCGATGTTGAGGTTTGCAATAGACCTGACACGACACTGATCCGATCCGACTTGGGTCACCAAAACAAGAAGTTTTCGACAGCGGACATGCAACAAAGGAACAAAAACGTGTGATACATGGCCATGCGGGTCAAGATGCAAAAAGAATCCAGAGCCGCCAAATCAAGGTTGGCAAACGGATTTGAGCCTGCCTTGGGGTTGATCTGCGGCCCAGGCCCCACGAAGCCACTGGCAACACATTAAGTTTCACGGGCTGAATCGCACTAAGTCATGCGTCGGAAATCGGAAAAATGCATAAGATAACAATGATAATCTTGATTGGTCGATGTGCTTCAATCTCGAAAGCAGCGAAGCACGTGGCACCTTTGCGGGCCCATTCCAAACCATTCTGGAGCAATTTTCTCTCTAACATTAAAGGTGCTCCCAATGATCGTGACGCCATCCTTGCAGCATCACTGGTGACAGCACATTGCCAAAATGATCAAAAGGCAGCTTTGCGGATTTGAATCCGCGGCCTGTCGGTTGCAAAACCATATCTGAAACTCGATTTCCACACTGTCCTCCGCATACACCGGCTCTTTCTGCAATTCCGATGACGATTGCCCCATGGCACCGGCCAGTGGTCAAGCCGTGTTGGTTTGTCTTCTACTTTTTTGGTGAAGGGTACGGTTTTTTCGTGTTTTTCCTGCACCAGGTTTGCTTTGCCGGCCATTCATCGCAAAACGGGGTTTGGGGGACCATCCTTTATCCAAACATTTGTGACATGTGATTCGCCATCTGGTTGAAAAATGAAACATTTCATTACGTTTCATTGCAGCGACGTTCCAGTGGCCTTCAGACAGGATCCAATCAATCCCACAACGGTCTATCGCCAACAACGGTTTGGAGACATGAACGTCACCACTTTTCACACCAAAATGCCGTGGCAAAAACATTTGGCACCCACCAACTTTGGGATTTTTGTTGGGCATTTGACGCTTGACATGCGTCGGGCGGCTGGGATCACACGTCCGGACGCGTGCTCATCTGTGGGGAAAACCCTCGAACCGCATGCTGGTGTCTTGCCCCGTCATCAACATCCAGTTGTCATCTTCCATAAATTTTGCCGCAAACGTTGCGTTACGCAAGCGAGAAAGACATGAAGCACCGAAAGAGACATCAAAGTTGACCAGCTGGTTCTGGCCCAGGTGTTTGCACCGGCTTTGCCACTTGATTTTGTAATTAAGTAGTTTCGTGAAAAACGTTCACATGTTACAACATGACACATTCAACTGGCACATCACAGTCGCGCACATGGCTCTCTTTCCTTTTCTCGCAGCGCACATGGGGAATCGGTCTTCGAATCTGCACTTCACAGGCTTAGGGCTCGGCATCTCGTGAACCTGCTGCACATTCATGAGTTGATCCTGCACCCTACTGCTGTCATTGCCATAGAACAAAGAGTCGCGGGTCACCACGGATGCATCAGCACAAACGGCCACAAAAGACAGTTGTTTTAGATGGAAAAGGGTCCAGTAGACCACGCCATCACAAATTAAAGGCTCACAGTAGTGGCTACGCCAGCAAAATACTGTGGCAAGCGATTGCAAAGGAGACAAAGGAAAGCGTGCCAAAACTGTTTGTTTGGAACGATGGCCTCATTGACTATAGGCTGGTCGCCAAGTTTGCAACCGAGGGGGACGGCAACCACCCTGATAGGCATCAAATGGACTTTCATGGCAATCGTGGCTCTGTATTGCAGCAATGACTGCTGTATAGCACAGGCAGAAAACTGCAGACACATGAAAAATGCAAGATGAAAACAGTAAACATTACGGCTGGCTGTGAGCCAAGTACATCAGTACGACATGTACTGCGGAAAGACACTGCTGCAAACAGAAGCCACCACTTGTGACCATTGACCAGAGAGGGGAGTAGTGTAAGGGAGTGGAAGGGGGGGACAGATCGAATTTCATTCGGACAACTACACTACCCGCCTCTCCCAGCCCAAAAGCTCAGAGCAAAAACACATGTTCACTCCACACTCTCAGCACATCTGACTCGTGTGGTTTCGCTCACTTCTTAACACGTTATCAAAAATGACCACTTGTTTAAGTAGTTTCGTGAAAAACGTTCACGTGTTACAACATGACACATTCAACTGGCACATCACAGTCGCGCACATGGCTCTCTTTCCTTTTCTCGCAGCGCACATGGGGAATCGGTCTTCGAATCTGCACTTCACCCCTCTTATCCGAAACCTTTTAAGATCTGCCTTATCAGCGGTTTTACCTCAACTTGTCGAACCGCATTGAAGAGTCTTAGATCATTTCTGGACGGATAGTCTGCTATGTTGGACTCACTGGCTACTCTACAGAACCAAGCATTCACACCCAATCTCATTTCGACTTGCAAAAGTCTCTCGAGAAGATGTATACCTGCTGCATTCCTTGCTCGTCCGCTTATTGCTACGTCCCTCACCGCATTGTTATCAATATAGCACACGCACGAAGCTGATTTCAACACGCTCGACCAGCGGTACATTGCAACGATCAAGGCAAGAAGCTCAGCTTCGAATATGATGCTCTTCTTGGATTCACTTCCAAGTTTTTTCATCTCCTCGTCCGATAAAGAGCATGAAAAGAACTCTAACAGAATGCCTTGGTCATTCACCAAGACGCCCCCCAATCCGCATGCCCAGAATGGGCTAGTGGGTTCAAAGCATGCATCAGTAAACAAGAAGAATGGTCTATCTGTATGACACGACAAGACTCTAGGCTTTCCGGAGCTCAGGAAACCCAAAAACCTTTTGAGGGCCATTTCTGCTTGCCCGTCCAGGGCTTTGCCACCACTGGCGCAAAGTTTTGAAACTTCAGCTAGGCACAACTTACTCAACCGACCATACACCTGAGAGTCTGCAAATTGTAGCTTGCCCCTCAACACCTGACCTTCTTTCTGCGTCACATTTTTGGACTTCAAGGTCTCTTGGATTAAGTCTGACAAGTCTTGCTTGCGCTTTTCTGTGTTGTCGAAGTATACCTTGCCTCTGCTAAAGTCTTTTAAACAAACTTTTATGCCTAGCGCTGACACCTCGGATGAGAACTGCTGACACTTTTCGCCTTCTTCGGCAAATTTCCAGCCAATCAAACGGAACAAGGCGGTGACTGCAGCGTCAGTGGATTTAACCATGCCTTGCTTAGAGAAGACCACAAAGTCGTCGAAGAAGCAGGACCAAGGTAGCTTCAGCCCCACTACACCGATATACCATATTGACCTTACCACCCTTAAGAACCAATAGACAGCTCTCGTTGCTCCAAACGGGACCGCCTTTAATTGAAAGATGGAAGGTGACTTGGTCTTGGGGTTAAAGCAGGAAACAAAGGCTGCCCATAGATCACTTTCACAAATTGCCAGCTGTTTATACGCCGACTTGAGGTCGTAAGCACGGCCTTCCACGGATTCACCCGGTAGCACTTTCATGAGGCCTATTAATATTGCAGCAATGACATCTGGTCCTTGGGGCTTGGGCGATTCATTGCTCTGGACCGTTCCATTCTGGCCTCCTACAGTCAAGTCATCGATCAAGCGGGTTTTTGGACCTTGCTTCAAGCCGAATCGTCGACCTATCAGAGAGGGCTCTGGAAGGGAGCTAAGCTCCATGGGCCCCGCCAGCCAACCTTTACTCACTTCCTCTATGGTTTTCTCAAAGACCTCTGCATCCAAGTCTCTATCTCCTGAGGATCTAGTCTTTTTAAGAACAACTTCTCTTAGGGTCTGAGACTCCTGTTTTGCGTCTTCTACTGAAAACTCTGCGGGCTTGAAGTGCTGCGGAAAAACATTGGTTAGCGGAACTTCACCTAGGAGTTTTGTGCCCTCTACCAACTCATCCACTACTCCCATATCTTCGTACTGAAGATCTTCGAGCATTTCCTTCCACAAGGCAATCTTCTTATCCTTTAGGATGGTCTTTGCATGTTGCGGGAGGCTAGCTTTAAGGTCTCTTTCCGAGGCTCTGAGCTCTAGAGTCTGGGATCTTTCAGTCCATTTCTTAACCCACTTCAATCTTAACTTAACTAGCTCAGCGTCGCTCAGGGCTTTGTGCGCTTCAAGGGCTTGATGGAGAATCTTCGGCAAAAAGGATTCATATTGAGATGGGTGACCTGCTGTTACCGCTTCTTGCACAAATTTCTCTGGTTCATGCGGCACGCCCCAGGCTAGCTCAAAAACATAGAGCATCTTATCTTTCTCATAGTCATCCCCATCCCCCCCCGATTAACCGAATTGGTGTGGCGCGGAGAAGTTTGGAATGAATGGGAACTTCGGGCAGAGCACACTGCGCGAAAGGCGGCACGGCCCAGGGTTTGGTGAGCTTCGTCATGATTGGACATGGTGCTGGGATTGGATGGCGCGAACGCACCATGAGACACGAAGCAAATTCTGGAACCAAGGCAGGTGCTTTTGAAGCCCGAGGTTGATGCCCAGTGATTGAACGAAGCAACACTGAGTTTTCAATTAACTGATGAGGTTCGTATGGTGTGTAACCAGGAGACCATCCTCGATGCTTCATGGCTTCAACGAAGGCAATGGCAATGTGAAGAGCCAGAGCAGGCGGATAGGCTGTCTCTAAAGCGGTCGCAAAGTTGCCCTGTGCCGGGCCATGTTGTACAAGGCCCCAGGGCTCGTGCACGTGAGCCCTAGATTCTCCTGGACAAGTTCGTGAAATCTTAGCAAAAGCGGAGTGGTTGTAAGCTATGACGGTCCATTTGGGGCGAGAACTTCCATAACCACATGCTTGATGTGCTTGATAGCGGAAATGCTGTGAAACTGTTTTCCAAAAACGTGTCTTCCAGAAGAAACTGCCTCTGGGGTTTTCGACGGCAACAATTTGCTCACGCTCAAGACAGTTTAAGATCACAGTGGCCAAAAAGTCGAACAGCTTGTTTGCTTGACTGACCTTAATGCGTTCAAGCGTGGTAAGGCCCGGAAGACCTTCAGGGAACTGATCTGACCTAAGTGGTCGAGGGAGTTTGCAAAAGTTACCCTTTCGAACCCCTTGCACAAGAGGGATGTTGCGGGCTTTACTGCAAGTTCCGCACGGAGGGGCTGCGAAAATGCCTGCGCACAATGGACTTTGCAACCAACGCATGAGAGTTCGCTGATCCTTCTGCTTGGAGAGATCTAGGATTCGAACCGGCGCTGTGGTGGCTCTATTTACATGGTCTACACCGAAAGCTTGACACACCCCGAAAGCTTTGAGACAAGCCGTGACTCTGGCAGAACCACAAAACAGTTCCACAACGAACGGAGCTGAAGTGTCACGCAAGCTGTTGGGTGGCATCATGCAGCGCACGGGATTGCTCAAGGACGGTATTTTGTACATCGGCATTGGTCGGAGACCCTGGAGGGTGAGAACACGGTTCACTGGTATTAACAAAACTTGTGCGCTGTTGGACGAATGGAGAATTTGACTGTGTACGAGCTGCTTTGCTGGGTCTAATGAATTCGGAATCATGCAGGACGTCGCCATGAACACGCTTTGCCCCTAGTCAGGAGCCATGATCTTTTATGCCATGCGCGCCAAAACACTTGCAGCAAACATGCTTTCCCTTGGCGCACGAACCGCCATCGGGTCCGTTGGCACAATGACTCAAATTGTATGAGAAGCAGATCGCTTCACCTGCTGGCGTCTCGGCAACTCCGCCTTTCTGGTAAATCGCTTGCGGAATCTTGAAGAACCTCTGCCGGACTCCAGCCTTTCCTTTTCCTTTACCTTTGCCTTTTGCGTTCTTGTCGAAGGCGTTCTTGGGCACTTCTGTTTTTTCTTCTCCTTCTCTTTTTCCTTCTCAGCTTTGGCAGGCAATGGCATGAGTCCGAAGGAAACTTGATATGAGTGTAAGGCCTCTAGGAGTTCGGTGTCCATGGCACAATCCCCACCAGTTGACCTCTTTGGCTTTACGCCTTTCTCGATCATCACTTGGAAAACCATCTTATCTGCGGCAACTAGTTGCGACACACTGCACCTAGCAAAACCTTTCGGGGGGTCTCTATGAAGGTGCGCAAACAAAGTGTGCAGGTACCTGTCGTAGGCTCGCCAAGTCACTGAGTCGGCAAACACATAGCCCAATCCTCGTCTCTTGAGGGCTTCCAGCACTTGCAGTGCGGAATGAGCTGCTTCATCAGGCACTGAGCTTGCTTCTTTTATGACCAATCTCTCGGCTTCAAGAGCAAGCTGTTTGTTTGGCGTCTTTGATGTGGTTACCTCATGCATCCGACTTACACACTTTTCGGGAGCGATGTACGCTAACTGGTTTTGTTCCCTTTGGCTCGAACAAAGCTGAAGCAACACATGACTCGGCTCCAAAGGCCCCTCAATTGTGAGGCCTGGCAGCGAAGCACGAAGGGTTGCCATTCTTGCATCCCGTTCGGCCTCAGGAATCTTCCTATTCATGGCCTGCTCCGGGTTCGTTACCTGTTCTCTCAACGAAGCAAGCACCAATGTTTGGCATTCAAAGTGCAACCGCCGCAAGCACGCTAGCTCTCCAATAGTCGGCGCTCGGCCAGCCATGTTGGTGGCCCAATCCTGAAAATCTCTATCAGTTGTGGCCTGTCCTGGTTGGCCATGCGCATACGCCATCGTGCCCATTGTACGAACATCTGCAGTCTGCAGACACAATAGCGTCCCATCCGTCAAGCCTATCTCTTTGGCCCGTTGCTCAAAATGAGCTTTGGACTCCGTCAGCGATGCCATGGTCAGAGATGTACTAAAGCAGATCTGAGTCAGTGGAATAACCACCGTTTATAAAGGTGCTGCCTAGACATGAAGGGACACAGAAGGAACCTATGGTTTCTAAATCAAACAAGCACAGGATGAACAAAAATTGGGACATCATCCTCTTTCATGACTTTTTTTTGGTTTTGAACCAAAGGCCACGCCTCGGATCAAACACCACATTCTGAGATCATCTTCAGTTCTCACATTGAACTGAGGCCCACATGCCTTGATGTACCTCAAGCTGTAACCATGTTACTCTGCAACACTCTGATTTCTCAAGAGTCAAAGCAGAAAACATCTCAGCTGGTCTACTTGACCAAAAAAACAAAGGAGAAAACATCTGAACTGGTCTACTTGACCAGCAAACGACTACATGTCAACTCCTGTTGGCCATGCCCAGCAAACTCAGAAGAACAAACCTTGGTCTTCCATGAATACACTTTTCAAAGGGACATACAGTGACTTCGTTTGAGGATTGGAAGCTCGCTCAATCTTTTTCGCAAGCTCATCTGTGTCTATTGCACAACTGGCATATGACATGATGATTGTCGGACTCTTGCGCTTCTACGAAATTTGCTGTGATACGCTTTCCGCAGGCCAGTGAATCGAATGATGCGCAAGCTGCTAGGCCTTTGTCGAAAAAATGCAAAATCTGGGACTTCTTGTGAACGAACCATGTACGGACACCGACTTCTGCGCGCTCTTGTATTGAGCTATTGCCTTGCTTTTCGGCAAGGTCAGCTGGCTCCTCTTCCAAGTCTTCGCTGGAGCTCTCTGACGATGATGAATCCGAATCACCTGTTAAGAGGTCTTGACTTACATCCAATCTTTCTTCTGGCTCGAACTCTTCTCTCTCTTCTGCGGGCATCTGCTCTTCGTCTCTGTCCTCTTCTTTAATCTCTACAACTTCTGCAAATCTTGGCAACTTTCGGAAATATTCACTCCTGCGTGCATCTGGCCTAAAGCTTCCATCTGCTATTGCAAGAACGATTTCTTGGAAACGCCTGGTCGGACCAACCGTTAGATCACGAGCATAGAACGCAGCGGACTCTGTAGTAGCACTTGCATGCCTACCCAAAATGGATCTGTCTGAAGGCTTCATGCCATATTTACTAGCCCAGCTTAGGCCTGTGGATTTGAGGCTGTGCGACCGAACGTTCGAGGTGCTGAACTCTAGGTTCAACATTGCATTCAGCAGTTTTGACACTTCCCGTGAAGTCAATCCTCTCCAAAAAACTCTTCGCAAGCTGCGCTTCTTGGAGGTCGAATGAGAGGGCTTTCTAACAACCCGTCACTTGGAAGGCCAAATGCTTTGAGGAGTTCAAAAAATTGCCCTAGCCAAGCTTTCCCATGCACACCTAAAGCCGGAACTAAAATTGGCATGAGTGTGGCCTTTTTTGCTGCACTCCTTGACGTCTTATGGTGCCTGGTTTTCAACTCGAGAAACCCCCCCATGCTGTCATGATCATGGCTTATGTCATGCACATTTGCTAGATCCGAATGCCTGCATCTCCCATACAAAGCGATGAGCAGGTATCCACATATGGCTCGATCGTATGCATTTCTTGAAACATCATCCAAGATCCTATGCAACAACAAGATCTGAGTCACAGTCAGCACCACGGCCTGCTTGAGAGGCCGTTTCTTGGCGAACAATTGATCTGTAAGGCCAACGATTCGCCTGCTATCTAGTATATCGATTATGTCGAAACCGAATACATATCTTGCAAACCTGACTGCAGATAAAACATTGCTAGCCTTGGTGGCTGCGGCATTATTGTCTTTCAGGCAATTTACGAATCTCCAAAAGTTCGCCTCGGTCAGCGAACCTTGTGCACCTCGAAGAGTTTTTGCTGCCCATTGGAAGAACTCAATCAAGGCATTGGCTCTTTTTATGACAGTGTGCGGAGACCTGACGCCTAAGATTGCAGCAATTGTCTTCTTTGCTTCTGCCTCGAAAAATGCACTGCCCTCATATTGCTCTAAAAGACTCATCGTGTGACTGGGACACGCATGCAAGTTTAAAATCCACAGCCATTTGTCTACTCCTGCGTTCATGAGACTGTCCCTCTGCTCTTGGTATGTCTCGTCTCGAATGCATGAAATATGGCTTTCGAACATTGCTCTACCTGGGGTCACGTTTAACCTGTCAAGCGAACTTCCGCTTGCTTGCCGTGCTTCCTGAACAGTTGGCATGCTACTCCAGAGCATTCTCAGCAGGCAACCGCGGTATTTCGAACTGGCTGTGGTTTTCATCAAACAAGTATTTGTGAACGCCTTGCTCCCAAGGTAACACGATACTTGTCAACTTTGCGTGCTTTATGAAGGAGTTGTTCACAAATTGACTGAATTCGTGACTTTGTAACGACCTTACGAAGTCGTCCTTTGGTTGCATTTCATTACGTACTGTGTCCTCTTCTGCCACAGAGGGCAGCTCAACCTTTTCATCGCCAGAACCTGGAGCTGAAGGTACGACAAACGGAAGGCTTTCTGGAGTCTCATTCTGATCAGACTCAACTGATGCACTCTCTTCGAGGCCTGCAAGAACCGGGCTCTCCGGTGGATCCGAATGGACGCTAATAACTTCGGTAGCCTCTGAGGGCTCGAGTAATAGCCTACGCCTCTTCTTAACTCGCCGGTCCCACGGCCTCATGAGTGATCAAGTTCATCTAAACTCCATGGCTCTAATCCGCACCCCCATATACAGATCGAATTTCATTCGGACAACTACACTACCCGCCTCTCCCAGCCCAAAAGCTCAGAGCAAAAACACATGTTCACTCCACACTCTCAGCACATCTGACTCGTGTGGTTTCGCTCACTTCTTAACACGTTATCAAAAATGACCACTTGTATCTCAGTCACTTCTGTTGTCCAACGCCGTCGACGTGACCTTGGTATCGCCGGTCGCCAGGGATGGCCGCCGCGGCCGACGCCGCCGCGCGCGAGCGCCGCGAGACCTATCCCGAGTTGGCTCAGCTCCCCGCGCCCGGCTCGCCGTCCTCGCCCTCGAGATCGGCGGCCGGCGGGGCGACGCGCGGCCGGTCGCGCGCAGGCGGCCCCTTCCCTGGCAGCGACCTGGCCTCCGCGCCGCCCTGCGGTCACCGCTGGGGAGCCTCCTCTCCCTCGCGGCGCAGGGCAGCCTCGCCACGACGCTGCTGGAGCTCCCGGAGCTCACGCAGGACGCGCGACTGCTCCCCTGTACATAGTCTCACCTCTCGCTCGTCGCCGCTGCTTCCGAGGGGGGAAAAAATGACGTCAGCGTCGTGTGTGTTCAGCTGTTGGAACAACTTCCCCCCCAAAATGCACAATGAAAGAAAAACAACAATGTTGTGCTCGAGGTGATTTCCAACATTTTTTAATCAAAAATGCTAAACAAAAAAGCATGTGTTTTCACAATGCTGGCGAAAAGTGCGAGGGCCATGTTGGCGACGGGTTTCCGGCCCATAGCCAGCATCAGATTGTTTTACACAACTTTTGTGTCTGTGTACACGCTCGTGCACCGAATGCGGGGCACACTAGCAGCTGCACAGCCAGAAGAGCAACATTGCTTTCGGCCAGAGAGGCAGATGGAGGAACACCTGTTGAGCGCAAACGTGCTTTCAGACAAAACCTCAATCGATGAGAACACCAATATGGATAGTGATTTTGGATTTGTCCCAAAGGACAAAATTTTGGCCAGCATTGCGGCGTGCATTGCGCAGACAAAGCATTTCGGATGATGCAATTTCGATATAGGCTTCTGTGTATGGTCGTCAAGTTGGACAAGTCATGGGCGAAATGGATGACAGTGAAGAATTTGAAATTTCGTCAGGTGTTCCTCCGGGTTGTGTTCTGAAAGCCCGCGTTTGTTGCTATCTACTTGATGTATTGATTGACTCTTTGGCAAATGTCGGTGTGCAATTGAACGCTTCAAAAACTGTGATCATGACAACTGAAGCTCAACCGCCGGCATTTTTGACGACAAAACGTGGTGTTCATATTAAACCCTTGGAGCCGGCAATTGTTCATAGATGGCTAGGGTGCATGCTGCCAAAGGGTCTCAAAATTCAGCTACTGACATTGACCACCACCTCTCGACAGCCACGGCAAATAAACACATTTTGTGTGACAAGTAGTTTCGGTGTGTAATAGGTTTCAGCTCTTCAATGTGGTGGTGAACCTTGTGGCTTGCTTTCGGGCCGCCACGAGCTACACACACCCCAGCCTAGCCGCCTCCCTGGCGTGGTCGAAGGTTGGTGCCCATTCCATGTGTCGGTCTGGCAATTCGTGCCATGCATGCGGCGCCGTTGGATTGGCCGGGTCCCTCAATAGCAGGCGGGGGCAGCACAGTGGTAGGATCTCTGCTGGAGGGGCTGGCAGTGGTGGCATTGGAAATCCATTGGGTTCCTCAACCGGGATGGCGGGGATCGGCACACGGTGCTGCGTGCATAAGTCGTTGAAGACTGCATCGGCCTCTGGTGTCTGCAGGAAGGACAGCGGGGTTGTTGGTGTCGTGCCCGCAAGACTGCTGCGCAACCGAGGTGGAACGCATGGCGGCAACCTGGTGGAATGCACGTTGGGTTCCCTCATGTGTATTCCCCATGGTGCACAAGCAAGCAGGGCATGCTGCTTCATCGGCGGCGGCTTCCGGCGGAGGCTCGCCCGTTCTCCGCAACCATTCCGGGGTTGTTGGGGCTGGGTGCTCATCACCTGGATCGGTGCGAATGGTGGCTGCGTCCTGAGTTGGGATCACGGGGGTGATGCCGTCCGCGAAGGTTGTCTGATTGTTGCCTTCTGGGGTGGTGGCTGGTGGGGTGAGGGTGGTGAGGTCTATGATGCGGGACCCGTCTTCTGCCATTTGCGGGGGGGATGGGGCACCGAAGAAGGGAACGTGCTGGAGCAGATGTGACAGCGACAAAGCCGGCGGACAAGAGAAATCCACGGGACGGGGAAATATGTGCACAATCCAATGGCGTTATTTGTATTTTTGTTTTTTTTCTTGTTTCGGATCCTTGTGTGTTTTTTCATTGTTTGGTTAGGGTGGGGTGCCGGCTCCCCCGAAACCGAATTTATTCAAGTATTGGTACAGGCCGGTCTTTGGATCCGTGGGTGAACGGCTGTGTTTATACTGGCCAGCCTCCAGGTGTGCTCGATGGGTGGGTCGCCTGTTGAGAGGTTTAAGGTCGATAACCACCCATTCCATGGTCTCAGGGGTGTTGTTGAATTCTCATGAGACCCATGGATGGCACCTCCATGCACCGTGTGGTGTGGATTCTGCAACTTGAACTTGGGCCAAAATAGTGATGATTTACACCACATTTGTTGGGTGGACAATTCGGCCACGAGACAAATCGCATGCAAACTTGGAGCAGGGAAGTTGAAACATGTGAGTGGCAAGCTGCTTTGGTGTCAAATCAAAGTGGCACATGGCGAGCTGGAGGTGCGACAGTTTGGAACAGTTCGCAGACTAGCAGACATTGGGACGAAGCCTTTTTCGAGAAGCAGGTTCGAACTTGTGCTCTAGTGGCTACAAGCCCGAGACGGCGTGAGGGAGCTGGAGTTGGACAGCAAGAGTTCGAACTGTTCAATGAACAGCACATTGAGAAGGGCAAGGTGATGAAGATGGCAAAATACCTGAACAGGCTGGTCTTCGTTAGCGGCTTTGAGTTGGCTACTGGCGCAAGGGTGATCATCGTGGGGTATTTGATTCGACGGAAGTTCTTGAAAACAGGATCGTGATCTTGGAGACCGAGTTGGAGGTGCAGACGCACAAAAACATCAACGCCGTCCAAGAGCAAGAGAAGGCTTGGTCGATGCAGATGGGCTATCCCCAGTAGATCCGCAGAGCCTTGGCATACCGCGGCGGCTTTGTGGAGGACCACTCAACCCGAGATGGCTTGGAGTGGGACACTCTGGGGGTTTTTTTCCCCCACAGGTTGGACGACTATTTTTATATTGGCCAGTCTCCAGATGTGCATAATCCAAAAGGACGAAATCCACGGCCCCTGAGCCCCCTCACCGCCCTGGAAGTCGACTGGGGGCAGCCCTCGCCGCTGAGAGCGTTGTCGGCTGACTGGTTGAGCATGGATGCTGCGAATGCGTGCGTAGCGGCGTGTGTAAGGATGGCAGACCATCGGGCGATGAGGGAGGCCACGACGGTGTGCCGCAAAGGTGCGGGAGTTTCCCGAGCTTTGGTTTGGGCAA